GATAGTGTCTCCCTGTTTCAGACCTCTTTTTCCCTGGAAATACCCTACATTTGCACCATTTAGGATCAGCATAAACGAGGTGGTCTCAACACAGGTCCTCACCCATTTTATAAAATGCCCTAGGAAGCCTTGTCCATACAAACATTCTTCCACAAACCTCCACTCTACTGAATCATATGCCTTCTTTAAGTCAATCTTCATTAAACACCTATTGCTAACCCCTTCCATCTTTACAATCGTATAAGTTCCTGGGTTATCAATATGTTATGAAGTATAAGCCTCCCTTCTACAAACGCCCCCTGGTTCTGATCTATGATCTTTGGTAATACTGTTTTCATCCTGTTACGTAAAACCTTAGAAATGATTTTGTAGAGTACATTGCAACATCCAATAGGACGAAACTTGCAAGCATTTGATGCATTGTCTATTTTAGGAATTAACACAAGCACAGTAGAGTTTAATTGTTTTAGGATCATACCAGTGTTGAAGAACTCCATGATAGCCTCCGTTACCTCATCTCCTGTGATCCTCCATGTGGCCTTGAAGAAGTCACTTCCAAACCCATCGGGGCCAGGGCTTTTATTGCTGTTTATGCTCCATAAGGCTTCCTTGATCTCCTTTCTGTTAATGGGAGAAATCAGTTGCATTTGAGTTGCCAGGTCCAGTTTTGGTCCTTGGTTGAACACCTCAGCTCTGATTGGCATCTTTTTTGTTGTCTGACCCAGTTATTGTTTGAAGAACTGGAGAAAGTGGTCCTCCATAGCTTTCCATTCCCTAATTAGTTCCCCCTATCATTCATAATGGACCAAATTCTGTTCTTCATCATTTTCTGTTTGAGATTTGAATGAAAGAATCTGCTGTTCACATCTCCCTCTCTAATCCAGTCCTCCTTAACTTTTTGTTTCATAAAGCTTTCAAAAACTTTGCTGTTAGTGATATAGTTCTTGTAGGCCTCTCTTCAGAATGTTGCACAGTTTCATCTGCTGGTTGTTCTCTTAATTGCAGCTGAAGTTTTTCTAATTCTATCTGGGCTTCTATAAGTCTGGCCTGGATGTCTGAAAATTTCTCCTTGTTCAGTTGTCAAAGATCCTGTTTCAATCTCTTCATCTTCTTGATGACTTGGAACATTCTAGTGCCTTCAATCTTGTTCTTCCAGCTGCTTTCAACCACTTCAAGGAAGGTAGGCTCCAACTTCCACATGTTGAGGTACTTGAAGGGTTTAGGCTTACTTTGAATCTCCACTTCTATTTGCACTATAATGGGGGGAGTGGTAAGAAATGCCCTTGTTAGCCATTGTTGCAATGGATTGGTTGTGTTGATAAACTCACAACCCATTCACCAGGATTCTAGTTTGGCATAGATTCTGGATGATCAAATCTACTTGTTACACCAGGTATAGATAGGGCCTTGTTGTCTTATGTCCTGAATTCATATTCATCAAGGCAATATTGGAAAGGTTCTATCTCTGGTAGAGAGATACATGATTACCACCCATCTTCTCATGAGGCTTCAGAACATTGTTGAAATCACCACAGACAATCCATGGATTAGCGACTGTTTTCCCAATATTTTGTAGTTCCTCCCAAAGCATCATTCTTTCATTCTCTCCATTTCCAGCATAAATTCTAGTTAGATTGAACACACTTCCACTGCTCTTGTCTTCCACACAACAGTGAATACATTGATTTGAGCTGCGAACAACCTGAATTTCAACAGAGTCATCCCACATAAGCAAGATTAATTCTTCCTCTATTAGTTTGTTCACTATTTATATAGTACTTCCATCTCTGATACATTCTCCTCATGACTTCACTTCCTTTCTCCTGTGTCATCTTGATCTCCTCTATACAAGCTATACTTATCTTATTGGCAGCCAAGACCCTAATGAGTTCTTGCTGCTTTATAGGGGCATTAAGGCCCTTAATATTCCATGTTAAGATGTTACACGTTGATCATAGGATCAGGGTCTGGATCAATGTGCACACCCTCCTTTGCCATCCCACTACATTCTCCTTTGTCTCCCCCAAGTAGGGGTATAATCGAACCCAGCCGAGTGCGAGCAGCCCTCTAATCGAGCTACGCTCGAGTCATTTGTGTTAAGCTCGAACTCGAACTCGAGCTCGTCCGAGCTTGGAAATTTGAGCTCGAGCTCTGCTCGCCTTAATTTTAGGAGGCTCAAACTCGGCTCGTTGAGCTCGATCCTTACAAAAATAAATAAACTAAATAATTTAAAAATAAAAAAAAATGCATCACAATTCGAGGGAGGGGAATCCTGACTAATTTTCCTTATACAAATTCTCAAAATCAGAGAAATGACGCCAACTCCAATAAAAAACTTTCTGCAACTATCTCCAGATAAAAGTAATAAAAAAAAAATTTGCTATCCATCAATCTCCAACTCAAGCATAAAATAAACAGCATCTATTTAGATCTAGGCAAGGGAGTATCAATATGCCTTGAATCAATTGAAATCTCTCCACCAAACTCTCGAACAACCAAGTAGTTAGCAATCAAGCAAAAAAACGAATGCACAATTGGCCCTCAGCTCTTGTACACCTTTCCTTTAAGCTTAAATCTGTGAAGAAATAATACTAAGAGGGGAATTTGATGAGATTCGTGGAGAGGAAGAGTCTAAAACGGGAGGAAAAGAAACCTCAGCTCCTATTAGATCTGTGTGTTTTGAAGGATGAGAAGCAAAAAAAGAAAAGAAGAAGAAGCCAAGGTAAAAATATGCTCCAGATCTATGTATGTTTGGAGGATGAAAAGTAAAGAAAAAAAGGATAGTAGAAGAAGCCAAGGAAAAGAGATGCGCCAGATTCATTTGCTTAGTGGGTTCCAACTGTAACTCTAGTCTCTAAAATATAACTAATATTTTTTTAAAAAAAATAAATGCATAATCGAGCAGCTCCACGAGCTTTCGAGCATTATTTCCATGGGCTCGAACTCGACTCGTTTGAATATTGAGCACAGCTCGAGCTGGTTCGAGTCGAGTTTTGACCGAGCCAGCTCGCGAGTAGCCTGCGAGCGGCTCGGTTCATTTACACCCCTACCCCCAAGCATTCCCTGAACATCTTCTTCTGAGTATCTTGTCAATATTGAGAATCTTGGAGTTGTGATTCCTTGGTCCAGTTTTTCAATCCCCTGCTCTGGGCTATCCTTTCTATTTGGCATACTCCCCTCATTCTTCTTAGTTTTCTCAACCTTTCTCCATCCCCTTTCCTCAGTGTTACTCTTTGGTTCAGGTGGTTTTACTGGCTCTGGTGGTTGCCACCTCTTCTTACATTCATTTTCTTCATGCCTATACCCAGCAGAACATTTACAGCAGACTGGTTTCCATTCATAATGGACCATTTGGTTCTGTATAACTCCTTTTTCGTCTTCAAAATACACCTTGCTAGGGACTTCAGTTTTAATTTCCATCTCTACCAGCAGTCTAGCAAAGTTTGCCATATCTTTACTATCCGTAAGCTCATCAGTCATGATTGGTGTGCCAAGGGTGCTTGCTATACTACATAAAGAGGCTGGGTTTCAATATTTCAGTTCCAATTAGGGAAATTGGATCCAAACAGGCACTTTAGCAACTTCTTTGTAATTGATACCTTTCTCTACTGACTACGGTTTCACAATTACTGGATTACTATTTACAAAATGGTAGATATTCATCTTAAGTGCCTCATCTCTAGCATCCATGAATTTGAATCTAATTGAAAACATGCCAGTAGACAAGAGGTTTACCTCGTCAACTCCCAGGTGGCTCCAAATTCGCACGTAGAAATTGTTCATCACTTTGAATTGCGGGTTTGCACCCAGCACAAAACTAACCATAGAGAGTTCCCAATAATCTGCTTCTTCTTGCACTTTTTGGGGGTGGATTTTAGCAACTGAGATACCATTGACCAGGCGTGGTTGAACAAACTCAAGCTTCGCTCTAGCCTTTTTCATCCTCTTTACATCAAACGATTCCCAAGCAATCAGTTCTCCTTCCATCTTCAGATCTTGAGCGTTCGAGTCCTGACCGCTCTCAATCGTTACTCCCTTCGCTGGCGTTTGAATCCCGCCACTTTGTTTCATTCTAATATGTTCTATTCCAGTTTTCCCCAATTCCTTGAGGTTTTGTTTCTCCGATGACCTCATCTCAATTCCTCCAATCTCGTCAACTTTTGCTTTGGAATTCATCTAGGGTTGTTCTCCACTTGCTTTCCAGTCGATTCATCATCGTTTTTTGGAGCTTTCTGTGCTGGTTTCCTCCCTCTGCCCATGGCTAGCGCACGTTAGCAGTGGGCTAACATGCACCGAGAGAGAGGAGGAGATGAGAGAGAAAGCATGTTTATCAAAAATAAAGTTAGAAAAAGGAACTTGATTCCCCAAAAACTTGCAATATTCTCATCAACTAGGATTTTCGTTCACAATATCTTGAGCCCTGCAAATAATACTCGAAATTCAAGATTAATAACATTTTTGTGAAACCTTTGAATTTGATCAAATATAAGTTAACTGCAAAGACCGTTTCCAACATTCATAATAAAGCCTATGAAATTTTTAACGATGAAACCCACATCATATGGGGGATGATTATTTTCTATTATTTAAAAAAATTTCCTCAATATTAATGGTATTGGACCAAAACTCAAATGTCTCTCTACAACATAACTTCTTATGGATTATGGGATAGAATTGTAATTGTCTCCGCCCAAGATGCTCATAATCTTTTGAATCTATCTAAATGTCTATGAAATTTTTGATAGTGAAACCCATATCTTGAGGGGATAATTATTCTTAACAGTTTAACCAAACACAACCTCACCGTTTTTGTTTGGTTGGGAAGTTTTCCTATGACCGGCCAAAAATGGAGGAGATTCACAATGAATTCAAAAAAATCGGATTTAATGGTGGATACACTCTAGGTCTAATGAACCCTAGGCATGTTGATCCGATTCAAGCAAGAGGAGGATTATCAAAGATTTTGGATACGGACATTCTGAAACATTGGCGGATTCTCCATGAGAATGTTGAAGTGGAAGCTCGGATTCCGATTTAAAGAAGATCCGCCAGTAGTGCCAATCTGGGTTGCTCTTTATGATCTCCCCATTGAGTTCATGCACCCGGAAGTCATTTATTCGATGGCTACAGCTCTTGGTCAGCCATTAAAAGTGGATGCCCCAACAATAAATATGACTAGAAGTGGGTCTTACCAAGGATTTATCAAAGTCTGTCAAAATTGGTAAAAAGGGTCGTAAACATTAGCAAATCTTCACATTCGAGCATATTCCATCAAATTGCTTGAACTGTAGCAAAATCAGACACAAAGAATAGGATTGTCAAATTGGAAAACCTTCAATACTAAAGAATGAGCCCGATAAAAATGTAGTTCCTGCCTTGAAGAAGAAAGGATTTAAAATAAAGTCGGCAAAGCCAAAGTGGCCACTCAAAGGAGGAAAAGCCAAGAATGATGCCTTAGAAGTGCAAATCCTCAATTCAAATCCATTGGTGGTCAAAGGAGTTGAGATGCAAATAGATGATGCACGAATAGTTGATGCGCACCCTATGGAAGAAACCCTAGATGCGCGACTTGTTATTGCGCACCCTGCAGAAGAAACCCTAGCTGCGCAATCCTTACTCGTGCACTCTGCGGAACAAGGCCTTGAGTCGCTCTGGCTGGAATCTACTTCTGGATTATCAGCGTTGGAAAAGGAAGTGATTCCGGTGGATTTACAGGAATCTCCAATTAGAGAAGATGCTGAACATGCTCCTTCGCTGTTAATAACGCAGTCTCTAGTGCAATCTGAAAATCGATTTCCAGTTCTCCAAGATAAGGAAGACGGTGACATAGATGACGATGTGGAAATTGTTTTTCCTGAAGACAATAATCAAGAGCAGCAGAACCAAGGCTGAGGTGGTTGAAACTAGGATTGAAAGTGAGATAATATCAGGGAGATTGACAGCCATGAAAGTAAGGAAGATAATGATGAAAGAGAGCTGTGGTCTGAAGGGGAGATACATGAAGACCACATAATGGAATATGAACAATGCAAACGCTCCGTTAAAAAGAAACAGGGGCGGAAGTCGAAGGAAGAACGTGCTAAACAAGTGGAGGGTGTCGAGTTAAGGTGATCCCTTCGACTTCAATAGTAAACAATCCCTTAAAGTTTGCAATGGTTAGTGTCATCTTTTGGAATATTCGTGAAATAAAAATTCAGGCATCTCAACGCCGTTTGATGTCCATGATTTAGATTTATAAAATTTCATTATTGGTCATTCTTGAGCCAATGCTTCCTATTCATAAATTGGAGGAAATAAACAGAGAGTTGAGGTTTAATTTGGCTTTTTCATCTTCCACAAGTAAGATTTGGGTACTATGTAGTAGACTTTTTACAATAAATATGTTGGAGGATATGGAGCAAGTGCTGCACTTTGAGGTTGGTTCTATTCCGCTTCAAAAGAATTTTTTGTTGTATTCAATATATGCAAAGTCGAATAAAATTGATAGGTGAGTTCTTTGGAATAGCATGGAGAATTTCAGAGGGGCGCATCCTCATTTGCCTTGGATTGTCAGAGGGGATTTTAATGTAATTCGATCCTTGGAGGAGTATTCGGGATCATCGGTGCAGGATTATGGTGCGATTGATGAGTTTAATCAATGTATTGAAGCTAGTGATCTGCTTGAGGTTCCTCCTATTGGTGATGAATATACTTGGGGTGGTACAAGGCATACGGGTTGGGTTAGCAAGCAATTGGATCTCATCTTGTTTTCACAAGAATGACTTAATATGTTTCCGAAGACTTCGATTGATCACCTTTGTCGAACAACTTCGGATCATTGTCCCCTCGTCCTCCAGTTTGATGTACAGGTTGAAAGTAGGCCAAGATGCATTCGGTTTCAGCAAATGTGGTTAAAGAGGCCGGAATTTAGAGAGGTGGTGAAGCAAAATTGGTCCCAGCCAGTTCATTGTTTTGGAATGCTAGCTTTTTCAACAAAACTCCGTAGGCTGAAAGTGAAACTCAAAGAATGGAAAATAAAGAACATTTTGGAGACGTTTTTGAAAATTTAACGAAGGCAGAAGAAAAGGTAAGAGAGTTGGAAATCATCTATGATCAATAAGGTGATGTCGATGATAGAATACATCTCAATGTGGCTAATGCTTCTTTTCTCCAAAAGTTGAAGGAACATGAGGATTTTTGGAAACAAACGATGAGGTTGAAGATGTTAAAAGAAGGTGACACTAATTCATCTTTCTTTCATGCGGCTAGTGCTTGCCGAATTCACCAAAAAAAAAGATAAATATTACTAGCTTGGATTATGAGTTTTGTAGATAATGGAAGCTAGGTCGATCCCACGAGGACAACTAATTACCAAATTTGTTGTAAAGAAAAACTGTCAGTCAACAAGGTGTCACTCAGGAGAATGGAAACAGTCACTCAGGGGAATGAAGGCCAGGGGTGTTCTTCTCCTCTCCTACTGTTGTAGTTGTTCTATTAGCACTGTAATGGTTGAGTTCTTGTTCATTCAGCTCACTTATAACTCTAAGTCAGTTCCCATTTTTCCTAGAGTCATCTTTGCAACCTTAACAACCTATTTTCCAATGATTGATTCCAGCTACAAAGTCATTAAGTTCTTAGGCCTTCAAGAATGCTTATGTTAACTAAGTATATTCCTATCTCAGTTAAAACCATAGACTGTTACCTCTATGTCATAAGTTAAAGTTGAAACAATCCAAACCAAGTTTATCCTTCCAGATCTCCCTTAGTTCTAGCATGCATTCAATTTAGAGATCAAGTAAATGAATGTAGAAAAACTTTCAACCATAAAACAAGGAACAAAACCAGTGCTTTGACAACTACAACACCAGTTGAGGAGAATAACCCCTGGGAACTGTTTAGCTACTCATACAGATCAATGCTACATCTACTACATCGAAAGACATCATAGAAGTATACATAGTAAACAAAATTCAAGCTAACAGTCAAAAGATGAGGAGAAAGCTTGTGCAATTTCTGAGTCACTCCTGGGAGTGAAGGGGTTCACTCGTGGAACTGAAGAAGAAATTGGGTTGCTGTTCTTCAACTTAGCTTCCTCACTGAGTTGTTGCTGCTTCTTCTTCTTTCTTGTCTTCTACCTGGAGTTTTTCTGAGTGTTTTTGCAACTGAGAAGCTAACCAGAGACTCAGCTCTTTTCCATTGAGAGTGTAGTTCCCATTTTTATAGGGCCTTGCAGCCGGTGTCTTCATTATGAGAACCTCCCCATGCTTGGAGTTGTTTAATCCTCCCAATGTCTTGAGCCTGCAATCCAACTTGGCCGTTCCTTTTCTCTCTTCCAGCAGCAGCCGTTTTGCTCTCATTGATCAGCAGTGGTGGCTGGGATTGCGGCTGGGGGACAAGCATGCCTCTAGGAGGAGGCAAGGTCATTAATGACAAGATGCTTCTTGTCTAAGGGCCTTCTTCTTCGTCCAGCTCAGCACCCTTGCCTCAGCAGTCCTTAAATTGCTCCTTTGGCTTCCAATTTTCAGCAATTATTCAGTCCGGTCCTTTCCTAACAATAACATGAAAATGAGCTAAGTAAATTGCACCAATGTTAGGAAATACCCCCAATTGTTCATCAAATACAAAGTTAAGTGTGATGCTTTTATGTAACAATTTAACCATTATCAGCGGCTTAGGCAGAGAAGAAAGTGAAAATAGGTATACAAAAAATACAATCTGAAGATGGTAGAATCTTAACGGAGCTAAGGGACATTGAGATTGAGGCGGTGAATTTTTTTCAAAATTTATTGACGGAGGACTCCGCGCCATTGCTACAAGGAGAAAAACAAGAAACATTTTTGCATCTTCTACATGATGAGCTTGATAATTCCGAAAGGGAGATGCTAGTTAGTATGGTGACAATGGATGAGGTCCGAAATGCCGTATTCAGGCTTGCGGAGGACAGTTCACCTGGAATAGATGGATTTGGAGGTTCATTTTATAGGTCCTTTTGGGACATCATTGCTGAAGATTTGTTGCAAGCTTGTAATGAATTTATGGGTAGAGTACCAATTCCAAGAGTGTTCCTAGTATGTTGACAACCTTATTGCCGAAAAAACATTCTTTTACCACCTTTTCGGATTTTCGGCCAATCAGCCTAGGCAACTTCCTAAATATGGTGTTTACAAAGATTTTAACCAAGAGAATGAAGAAAGTCTTGCCAAAAATCATTTCCGAAGAGCAATCCGCCTTTCTTGAGGGGGAGGATATCATTGATAATGTGGTTTTAGCACAAGATCTTTGCCAATTTGTCACTCACAAGGCATTTGGGAACAATGTGATTATCAAGGTTGATATGATGAAAGCATTTGACCTAGTGTCGTGGAATTTTCTGGAAAAGGTACTTCAAAAGTTAGGGTTTCCGCAAGGGTTCATTTTGTTAATCATGAATAATCTTCAAGGCAGTTGATTCTTGGTGATGGTTAATGGCTCTCCAACTCGTTTCTTCAAGGCATCACGTGGTATAAAGCAAGGTGATCCATTTTCACCTTATTTATTCATCCTAGTGGCTGTGGCGATGACAAGACGTTTAAATTTCTTGGCGGGAGAAGGGAAGTTGGCAGTGTATGGCACGCCGGCGGGTTCCATGCGAATTTCTCATTTAAGCTTTGCCGACGATTTGATAATTTTTATAAGGGGAGAGAAGAGGTCGCTGAAAATGCTTGATACTTTCTTTAATGAGTATGAGGTGGCGTCGGGGCAAAGAACGAATCATGAAAAATGCTTCTTCCTTGTTGCGGAGTCCTGTCGCGCGCAAAGAGTTGAAATCATTAAAACAGTTTTGGGGATGCAAAAGGGTACATTTCCCATTATGTATTTAGGCTGCAAACTGTTTCAAGGAAGAAAAAAGGCACCAACATTTTAGTTCCTATTGCATTCATTGGATTCAAGATTGGCGAATTGGAAGAATAAACTCTTAAGTACGTGTGGACGGCTGATATTGTTAAGACATGTAGTTGCTGCCATACCCATCCATGTTTTCTCTGCTATTAACCCTCCCATTTTGGTTCTCAAGCAAATGGAAAAAAGTTGTCAAAGATTCTTGTGGCAAGGTTCCAGTGATGATAAGAGAAGGCATTGGAGTGCATGAGATCGTTTAACTTTTCCGACTGCGGAAAACGGCCTAGGGTTCGGCAGTTTTGTGAAGTTGTGCAAGTTTTCTCATATAAGCTTTGGTGGAAATATAAGCATCAAAATGGTTTATGGAGCAAGTTTATTAATTCTCTCTCAGATGCTGCTAGGAAGAAAACAGTTTGGAGTAGGATTTTGAAAGTCTAAAATGAGGCGACGAAGAATACGAAGGTTTTGGTTCGTGGAGGGGATAAGCTTTTCTGGTTTGACAATTGGGCGCCTGATGGCTTGCTTTGGGGTCCAAATGATGATCAGCCGCCAATGCCTTCTTTAACTATTCAAGGATTTTTCGCTAATAAAGATTTTCTCTTGAATGATTTGCTGGGATCACTTGATTTGCGAATGATACAAGTGTTACGGAACATGGACATCATTCTGGCTGACGAGCGGGATTTACTTATTTGGCAGCACTCAGCTTCCGGCTATTTCTTGGTTAAATCAACTTTCTTGCAGTTGAGGAGGAGAAACCAAGAGGATTCTTTGGCTAAGAAATTTTTGCATGAGTTGATCCCTTTAAGAGTGTCGTTCTTTGTTTGGAAACTCAGGAATTTGTTGGTGCCATTTGCTGAGATATTGTCTAACTTTGGTATTCCTGTTCAACCCTCTATTTGATTGTTTTGTAGAATGCATGAGGAAAGCATATCACATTGTTTCTTTGGCTGCCTAGAAGTTAAATGCATTTGGAATCATTTTGCGAATATTTTTAATATCAAGCTGGAAAATGTGGTCTCTTTGATTGATAT